AAGGGTGGAAGCAGGCGCAGTCCAGGCGTGGAAGGCACCATGTGTGAAGGCACAGAACAAAACAGACCACTCGGGCTTGAGGAAACTTGTGTGGCTGCAATAAGGTGAATGGCGAAAGTGACAAAAGAAAGACAGGTTGTAACAGGAAGGCAGAGCATACGTGCCAGGGCAAGGAGCTGCTGAGGAATAGCATGACCAGATTTGCTTTGTACAAAAGCAGGGATGAAGGGAATCTGCAGTCAGGATATTTAAGAGATTTTTGTGAAAGTCTCCACAATGGCCAACAATGCTAAAACCCTAAGGCAGTGGTGTTGAAGATGGAGATAAAACAGGTGTCTTGACTAGATACGAAGATCTCATTTTTCTAAAACTCTGCTCCAGTATCACTTCCTATGGAAAGCATCTTTTTTTAGAAAAAAAAAAAGCAAAAGGGAATTTTTTAAGGCTCACCTCTCTCTCCCTCCCTCCCTCCCTCCCTCCCTCTTCTAAAACTCTGCTCCAGTATCACTTCCTATGGAAAGCATCTTTTTTTAGAAAAAAAAAAAGCAAAAAGGAATTTTTTAAGGCTCACCTCTCCCTCCCTCCCTCCCTCCCTCTTCTCTCTCTCTCTCTCCCTCACACACACACACACACACACACACACACACACACACATACACACATTCTGATACTTTCAGGTATGGCTGTGTCCAGAAACCAGACCATGTGATTAAACAATTCATCCTGTCTTTCCCTCACAGCTCTGCTCTCTTCTGAATCAACATCATTTTCAGGTCAGTTTTTTGCCCACAGCGTCCCTCAGCAGTTACAGGGTTAAACAAGCTTAGATGCAGCAATCCGAGAGGAAAAGCGTGAGGTATAGAGGGCCATGCTATGCCTGACCTGAATGCCTGCTGCTGGAATTGGAGATGGGGCCACTCTAGTACGTGACAGACAGAGGGATGGAGGAGGAATACTCGCTCCTCAGGGGAAATTCGAGCACCGCTACCAGAAAACAGGGAATCGGCGCTAGGCGGACAGAAATGCAGAATTCCACCATTGCTTTCTCCTCTCGAATTGATAAGGGAGAAGCACATGTTCAGTGGCTTCTCCCCAACTCCAGAGTTTCTCCCTAACTGGAACTCAGCTGGGGGAGAAGCAGTCTTCCAGCACCACGCAATCCTGAACACCACAAACTTGTATTTTCTCATCGTCACAGTGGTGCACTGAGAGATGCCTCGTTACCCTCACTTTCCACGGAGGCTGAGAGCAGGGAACTGACCTGCTCAAGGGTAACGCCGTGGAGCAGGCACGCATGTGAACATCACCTTGTCCCACTCCACTTCCCGGGTTCTGACCACAGCTGAAGAATGGACGTTCCCAGGGCACACTGTTCTCTCAGGCCACGGAGCTTCCCTCTTTCTGATTCCCTCCTTCAAACAGCTTGCCCACCCTCCTCCCATCTGACAAACATGCCTGCTGCCTCCTTTTCCACTTCCCTTTCCTCAGATCTGGGCCTTGTTAAAAGAAAAACTTTAGACAAATTAAGTTTAAACCGAGTTTAATTGAGCAAAGAACAATTTGCAAATTCGGCAGTCCCTGAACCAGAATAGGTTTAGAGAGACTCCGGCTCTACAGCATGGTCGGAGAGGATGTAGGGACAGAAAAAGGAAAGTGATGCACAGAAAACAGAAGTGAGGTACGGAAACAGCCTGATTGGTCACAGCTCAGCGTTTGAACAGTTGGCCATCTGTGCCTGGCGGAAACTCGCGATCGCTGCAGGGGAAGGTTACAGACTGTTTACACATCCAGTTAGGTTAGCCATCACTATAGAGGGAGAAACTTTCAGGCCAGACTTAAAATATGCAAGGAGGCAGCTGTAGGCTAAACTTAATTTAACAGGCTGGAATGTCTGTCTTGATTTTTCCTGACACAAATCTAGTTCAATGCCTCACTCATTTACTTGTGTATCACCTTGTGTATCAGTTTCTCAATAGCGTACACCATTTTATAATTATTTAGTATCTATTTTTTCCCATTGAACTACAGGCTCCCTGAGGCCAAGACTCTATTCGTCTCTATGTACTTAATACAGATATGTGGCACACAGCAGGGGCTATACTATGAAAGACATATTTTGAAGACCAAAATTTTACATTATTGGTGACTTTTTATAAATTCTTCTGTCTTACATTAGTGTTACCTTCCTTTTTTAACATTTATATTCTATATAGATGATTCAATACAAGGGCAATGAATAAAATACCCCCTAGAATTTAATTCTAGGAAAGATTTTCTCTTGCATGGAAAATATGACAGTATTCCTTCTTGTTATTAGAAAATGAAAACTGTGTCAACCACCGTCATTGCACTCATACCTCAGCTGCAGGATACTCAGGTTACATGATTCTAGATAGACTTATCTGCTCCTTCCCTCCATGACTGATGTATATGTAGGTGTGAGAGTTTTAAACTATCTTCATTCTTTGTGGAAGGAAACAGAAGCACGTCGTTCACACTGGATAAATTACCTTATTATTTTTAGCTGGAGTGTAAATAGAGTATTCTGTTTTGCTTAGCTAAATCAGCATTCGATGTTTTTGCTTATTGTTGAGCTCCCTGATGACAGATATGTTTCTTTTGCCAAACATACCCACAGTTGGCTCCTAGTGGGGGCAAAATAACCCTTCCCAGTACCTGACCCAGCTGCCTGTACCTCTGTCTGTTCTCTGCCTCCTCTTCTTATTGACAACATCATTTTATAAATAAACACAAATGATTTGACCAGCCTCTCGGGACCTCAAGGTGGAAAAAAATTATCCCACCTAAGGAGATTCTAGGTTGTTAAATTAAGTTTAGCCTAAAAAATTATCAACTCAAGTTACACGCTATCTTTAAAAATTTAGTAAGAATGAGATATCCAATGATGGTGATGAAGATGATTACTAAGATTTACACAGTGATTACCATGTGGGAGGCACTACTCTAAGCGCTTCCTCGGTATTTACTTATTTAAATACCATAACAACCTATGTGGCCGGTTACTACTATCATGATCCTAATTTTATAGGTAAAAAAACTGAGGCACTGAGAAGTTATGTGACTTTCCCAAAGGCCACACAGCTGACAAGTGGCCGGGTTGGGATACTAACCTGCATATTTAGGGCCAAGGTCTGTGTTTTTCACCACACAGCTATATGGCAAATATAGAAATAATACTGAGATGGCCAGAGCCAAGAGGTGGCTGAGAGCTTTAAGAGAAAAAAAAAAGCTACTGACTAAAAGTGAGATCTTTTTGTATTCGTCTTATGCTCATTACCACAGGTTATGATCAGCACCTCCTGAGGAATAATGTCCCACTGAGAACATAACTATAGTGAAGAGTGTGGGCTACAAGGCAAGGCAGAGAGAACTGGCTGCAACTGCCACTCCACCACAGCCTAGCTGGGGACGCCTGGCTTGTTATTTCACACAGCAGGCACAGAGTATGGTGGCCACAGGGGTCCCAGTTTTTCCCTAGTGACCATGTCTGTGCCACGCCCCCTTCCTGTGAGAACTGTGCTCTTTCCCCAGGCCTAGAACATAAGCTTGGGGTGGCCCCTCCTCCCTGGCCAGGTTACCTGGTTTCAGCCAGGCCCCCGACCCACACTGAGGCAGCCACAGTATTTCACCGCTGGGCAAAGGGAGGGGCCCAGGACCCCAGCGGGTCCAGTCACCCCTGGCACTTTTCTAACTGGAGCTGGGAGAGAGAAGCTCTTCCCCTCCTGTCACCAAGCTACGAGGATTGAGGCCTGGAGCGGGCATGACCTCACACCGGCACGGGTGAGAGAACAAAGCCAGCATGTAGAGAAGCTCCGAGACGAGATACAGAGACAGACCTGACGGTACTGGAGTCCCTGGTCCTGGTGTCCCCTCCCCGCTCCGAACACATCAGCCAATTAACCACGTGGAGGGGAGAAAAAGAATTTCAGTTTCAGTCACTTTCAACTAGATGAGTCCTCACTTCACCTCTCTGAAACTCGGTTTCCTCATCTGCCAAATGGGAGGAATAAAACCACCCTTCTGTCCTGGGCAGTTCTGATGCACTGTGTGTGTTTTGGCACCGTTTCTCATGAATAGGAAGGGCTCTGTGATGTTAGCTGACAGGTAATAATGACGCCTACATTAGCACTCGTCTACCAACAGACTGCTGCCAGAGTCCTCCCGACTCCTCTTTCTCTGTCACATCTGATGTGACAGCAGGTACTGCAGGTCGTAACTTCAAACTCCATCCAGAATCTAGTTGCTTCTCGCAATTTCCACTGGCACCACCTTGGTCCAAGCCGGGCCTTGCATTGCATCGGCCTCCTAACGACATCTCCCCGCCTCTGGCCCCACTTTGACAGTGTATTCTTCACGCAGCAGTTGGAGCGATCGCAGGAAAGTGCAGGACAGAGAGACGAGCACGCTGCAGCAGCATCTCCTCCCACCCAGGGCATACGTCAGTGCCGCCCCTGCCCCGGACAGCCTCACTCTGGGCCTCTCCCACCCCCTGCTGCCCTCCTTGCTTTCCCCTACACAGCCACCAAGCCCTCACCTTAGGGCTCTGTCCTCACTTCCTCTCTCCAAGACACTTCTTTCCCGAATTTCTTCAAGCCTCCCTCCCTCCCTCCTTTACATCTCTGCTCCAAAGCCACCCTTTCTGTGAGGCAGTCCCTGGACACCCTGTTTAAAACCGCAGCCCCTTCCAGCCCCTTCCTTCCCCTGGCTGTTTTTCTCCATAGCACTTACACCATCTGACCTACCGTATCTACTTTCCTATTGTTTACTGTCTGACTCTCTAGAATGTAGGAGCGGGGGTCTTCACTATTTTGCTCACTACTGTTCTCGGCACACAGCCGTCACACACTAAGTATCTGACAAATGAATGAATGAATGAATATGCTCTCAATTCCCTTTTCTGGAGGTTGGGAGGGAAAACATGGACTACAGCAGCAAAAAAAAAAATATGGAAATCTTATTATGAAATTTTTTGCACTTACTTGGCACAGCGTACCCAGTGTGTGTGTCTGTACAAGGAATATAAAAAGCGCTGGCGATACATGTTCCATACTTTGATAGATTTGTCTTCAGAAGCCGTAGCTAAAAACTGGCCGTCAGCTGAAAAGTCCACACTTCGAACTGGAGCTGTATGAGCTTTAAATTCTGAGGATTTCTCTCTCCTGGAAATAAACAGTTTAATATTTATACCACATTTGATTTAATTATAATCAATATTTTATCCTTATACAGACTTTAAAGCATATAAAATGGGTTAACTGGTATAGAACCTAACAAATGTATGAAAAGGCTACATTGTACTGTACCCTTGGTCAACAGTGCTTCATATCACTTTGTTCATTAAAGTCACAACCGATACTTAACAAGAAAGACCATGGTTGTCCCCACCCTGAAATGCATTCTGTTTTAATGTGAAGCTAGGAAAATAGTACTTTGAACAAATCTCTAGCATGCATTTTAAGTTTCTGTTGTTCCTCTAGAAATGGCAGTGTATAGTTTAAAGAAGTTACAACCTAGAAAAAGCTAAGATTATTAAATCAACAGCACCAAGGCTATTTTCAGATTGGGGTCACATGGAAGTTGCATGGACTGATAGTCTGGGTTGGGAAGAAGTCCTTTATGCCATTTGTCTCTATACAGAATGTCTCAAGGTGATCTGACTTTCCCATTCCCATGTTGTTTCCATCCCCCCGGTAACGAGAAATAAGACCCCCGGTATGTATCTAAGGCCTTGCTTCCCCTGTAGGACCAATCTCACACTCACAAGCAAAACAAAGAATAAATGGTAACAACATACATCACTTTTCAACACCTTGAAATTTCAGATGCCTTTTTTTCCCCTTGGCTAGTGGAAAAAAAGAGGATAAAAAGAGAGAAAATAATGTGAGGCATTTGAGAAGTAGAAAAAATAGTCAGAAGTAGGCTAGACAGTGTTTGACTGAGGGTATATTCATTCATTCATTCAGCAAATGTGTAACAGCAGTCAGCAAAATAGTCAAGGCCCTGCTCTTACATTCTAGAGAGTCAGACAGTAAACAATAGGAAAGTAGATACGGTAGGTCAGATGGTGTAAGCGCTATGGAGATAAACAGCTGGGCTGGAAGGGGCTGCAGTTTTAAACAGGGTGTCCAGGGACCGCTTCACAGAAAGGGTGGCCTTGGAGCAGAGATGTAAAGGAGGGAGGGAGTGAGGCTTGAAGAAAGGAGTGTCTTGGAAAGAGGAAGTGAGGACAGAGCCCTGAGGTGGGAGCCAGGTGGCCGTGGGGGAGGAGGGGGGAAGCAAGTAGGGCAGCAGGGGGTGGGAGAGGCCCAGAGTGGGGCTGGCCAGGTCAGGGGCAGTTTGGGAACACCGGCACAAGTAGCATTTCCCGAGGTGATATATGGGAAACCCTACCTTGTGCCAGTATTGCCCAGGCACTTTTACCTCATACTATATCTAGGAATTAGCAATTTTCCCATTGAGAAAGTTACATTTATACTACTGATGCCTCATGGGGAAAACTGCCATAACTGCCTGAAAAAGATCAGGCAACAGTATTTAGTCTGAAATAATATATCCGTATCAGATTTTCAAATGTTCACACTGGCCTCCCATAGGCCGGCACCTCATCCTGTGTTTGGCTACCTTGGTTGGTCCGAGCAACATCTGCTTATCTCCAAGCCAGAAGCCTGGAAGTCGCCTCGACTCCTCCCCCTTCCTCTCCTCCCACATCCAGCAAGTCAACAAACCACATCCACAGGTCGTCCTCACTTCCTAAATATCTCTGGGTTCCTCCTCTTCTTTCTATCCCTGCTCTGCTTGCCTTAAGCTGGATATATCCTCCACATCCTTCACCTAGGTTATTGCGAAAGCCTCTTAACTGGTCTCCCTGCTCTAATCTTTTATCCCTTCCGTTCACCAACATTCTGTGCTTATTATCTTGCTACGAGTGTAACTCCAAGCACATAAATCCCAGTGTAGACGTGTCACTGGCTGTCCTCCAACAGAAAGCACAACGCCCAAGCTCTCTGGCGAAACATCCTGCCACGACACTGAACTTTGTACTCGGCACAGTTATGGTGCTTCAAACACACCTCTGCCTTTGCACTTTCTCAGTTTGGACCATTTCCCCCATCCCCAGACCTCCTTGACCAAGCCAGACAAGCTTATTCACTCCTTACGTGCTACAGCTATTTTGCTTACTACATTATACAGTGACTTTAAAAAAATAAACCTGTTTCTCTCCTATTAAGCAGTAAGTTTTTTGAAGACAGGAATGATAATTTCTTTATCTCTTTAAGACAAGCATCTAGCACAATGCCAGGCACATAAAAAGAGCTCAATACATTTCATTGAATTCCACTAGAAAGAGTCAATACTTAAACGTTCTTAGATCAAACCTGGCTTAGCCTTCCTGTGGCCTGTAGGAGGCAAAGGTGACTTTATCATAAATCTCTATCCCCTCATATATAATATTATGTCAGAAATAACTGAAATAAACATTAAATAAAAATTAGGAGGGAGCATGCAGGGACTAATTCAGTGAAGTCTCTGGGGAGATTTCTACGAGAAGTCAGGAGTATAATGTGGCCTGAATTCAAGCATAGGGCCTAGAGAAAACAAAGAAAAGACTTGGCATCTGCAATGACTGGGAAGCCAAGCGACGGCCAGTCAGCATCGTAAAAATCTGCCCTGAAATGTGGTTCTGACCCCACACTCCAGCAGGCTATTCTGCTTGCTTGCTTTCTGAAAGACCCTCCTCTCGGCTGGCCTAACCACTGCATCCTGTCTCAGCAGGAAGCATTTAAAAAACCACCATCGGAGTGCCTTTGTTGTGCTGGCGCTTAACTAGTTTCTATTTCCTCATCTGACTTTAATATAGGCGCTCTCTCTGCCTTCCACATATTTACCTATCTGTTCAGCCAAATTCTCTTGACTGCCCATTGTGATGAACCCCAGGTCAGACCTGCTTTCACACTTGCTCCTACCTACTCTTTCTTAGCCTCCCAGTCACCAGCTGTGAGTCTGTCTGCAGATACGCTGCCGGCACTCCTCTCATCCCTGTGCATGCATGCTGCTCCTCTCTACTGGAGGTGGAGCATGTTTACTTCTCCCCACTTTGAATCTGGGCTGGTGTTGTGACATTATTTGGACCAACGGAGTGCAGCGGAGATGATAGCAAGTTTCAGGCCTAGCCTTTAAAAGGTCTAGCAGCTTCTACCTTCATTCTCCTGGAACCCACTTGTCACTCTATAAGAAAGTCCTGCTGGAGAGGGAGCACAGGGAGAACTAAGGTGCCCCAGCCAACAGCCTGCACCAAGGCCCCAGGCATGTGAGGAAGGCATCGGCCCCATCCAGCCCAGCGGCCAGCTCAATGAAGTTGTGTTAGTAATCTCAGCCAACACGAGCAGGACAGAATAACCCTCCAGAAAACACACAAAATTGTGAGACACGATAGTTTTTGCACTAAGGTACTGAGTTTTGGGGATTGTAAGGCAGCAATAGATAGCTTCCTTCCCATTGCCATAATCCACCATTGCTCTGGCCCCACTGTGACATGATTAGGAAGAGAAATCAGAGACATCTACACAAGCTTAATCACTGTACTTAGATTAGCTAGGACAAATTAATGATGCAGTGTGCTTTTAGCTCATCTACCCTTATATGGTTTGTTCACTGAGATTCCCTTGAACTAGTAATGAGAGACTGAAGCTATGCTGTGAAGACAGCAAAAACACAAATTCTAAATTCTCAAAGTTAAGGATTTGGGAACACATTTCCCTTGGACCCCAAACCAGTCTCTTCTTCCTTATATACTTCCCCTCTATACTGCCATCCACATTATCATTATAACATGTCACTTCTCTTTAGTAGTATTTGCTATCATCAGAATAATATCTGGGTTTCTCAACATGGAGTTTTCCTTGGGTGGTGGCAGAAAGAAGTGTCCACTGGTGGGGGAATGCCCCGTGAGCTTCCCTCAACCGGGGGTGGGGGGATGATATGATGTGTGGGATTTCTTCTAAAAATACTCCAGGAAAAAAAGGGGTGTGTGTTGGGAGGGGCTGAAATAGACAAAACAAGATGGGCGGGACACTGATAACCGTCAAAGCCGGTTGATGGGTAAATGGGGGCAGTTATGCTATTCATTCTATTTTCATGTATGTTTGAAAAGTTACACACTCAAGAGCTTAAAAACTTAAAAAGAATCATGAAGATAATTGTTTACAATAGATGAGCTATTGGCTAGGGGTTGAAAAGCCTGTTATAGAGAGATTTATTATAACAGGATATGACCTTACACAAATGCAATGATTTATACTTTTGTCAGAAATTTTCTTTAACAAGAAAATTCTAGAGCCCAATAATGAATGATAAAAATCAAAGAACAGTTCTGGCACAGAGGTTTTCTGAATAGGGATCCAAGGGCCCCTAAAGGATCCATAAATGGGTGTCAGCAGGTTAATAAACTATAAATTTTGGGTTTTACAAGTTGATGTGTATCTTTCTGGGGAGGTAATCTAAAGCTTGTATCAGATTTACAAAGAAATTGATAACTACTACTACTGTACCCTCCCAATAAATTTAAGACATATTTCCATGTCTAGAAATAGTTTTCAGAAAGAAGATATAATTACAGGTTAAAGATGAGGAAACAAATTGTACAAAATAGTTTGATTATGTATCAAGGACAGTATACCTCGCATGTGACTGAGACTCATATAGTGTAGGGAGGTAACTGGGGAGTTTGGGCATTCCCAAGAAGTACCAGAGGAGCAGTCAGGCTCCAGCTTTTGTTCACATTTCTAGATCCAAAGCATAGCAAGTGTTTCTTTGTTTCTCTTACTTATCAGGAATCCAGAGTCTAACGGTTCTGTCTCGTGAGGCAGATGCCAATAAGTTTCCATGTGGAGAAAACTGCACGCTGGTTACTACATCCTTGTGACCCACATATCTGTAAGCTCTAGCTTGTGGCTTGAAATTCCATAGCATGAGAAAGGTGTCCCAAGAAGCAGTAGCTATCAAGAAATAAAAGAACAAAACCACTGTTTGTTAAAACGTAAACGTATGCATGTCTCATTACAATGGGCAGCAAATCTAATAACAAGGCATCCAGGTAACCAGACGGGCTGGAGGTTCTAAGGCTGACAGGCAAAAGCAAAAATATTTTTTAAAGATCCTCAAAACTACATCACTAACATGCAAGGCTGGCTATGTCCTATGTAACCACACAGCAGGATTACCAGCCCCTGTGTTCAACTAGAGCTCAGTAACTATTTATTTGCTAGAAGGCGGCAACACAGTGTAACAGAGAGCACACTGGACTGAGTCAGATCTGTCTCTAACTCTCTGGGTGACTGGGAAAGTTACTTAACCTCTGTGTCATGTAGACTGAATGTTTTTCCTAAGAGGGCTGGATGAGATAATTTTTTAAACTGTTTATGTGGAAATAATTTCACATTTACAGAAAAGCTACAAGAGTAACCCAAATAATGTTAATGTACCCTTTACCCAAATCCATCTGTTAATATTTTGCCTCATTTGCTTTATCATTTGCCCTGTGCTCCTCTTTCTCTGTATGTGAAAACACGTGCACACACACGCACACTTCTATTTCCTGAACCATTTAGAAGTTGTATAAATCATGGCACCTTTATACCTCAATACTTCAGTGTGTTTTTCCTAAGAAAAAGGATATTCTCTTACACACGCATAGCAGAGTTATTAGCTACAGGAAATTTACCATAGATACTAAATTTTACCAACTCTATTCTAAATTTATCAATTGATCCAGTAATACTTTTATAGATGGATGAGCTGATCTTAAAAATCTCTTTCTGCTCTGTAATTTTATGACATATGCTGATTAATAAAAGAATCATGTGTGTCAGACATTAGGTTAAGGCTTTAAGAGAAGGAAAACAGATGCAATCAATGGTGGAAATAAATGCCTTGGCAACGAATGAACAAACAAGCAAATGAAAGATTTTTAACTCTTACCTGAAAAATAAATTTTATTAAATATTACATGCATGTAGCTCCAGAAATAGCCCCAATAACAGAAACTAGGTCAATGAGAACCACTAAGTCTAGATTGTAGAATGCTTAGAAAATAACGCAACTTTATAAACTTGAAATACAATTAGCATCACTGTTAGAAGAGAAATAGGTCCTGGCTATATAGTCACTGAAATCTTCTAAGTTCTTTTGCCAACGTGTGAAATTCATTTGGACTTAGCCTATGCATTATTTCCACATAAAACAGTTAAAGTGAGTTCACAAATTTTCAGCTATAATGCTGGTTATCACCTCCTTTTTAAAAACGTATAGAAAGTCGATGTTCTACCATAGCTCGTCCAAATTATTAAATACTTCTATTAAGGTCTGAATTATTTTGGGCTAATGGAGACAGAATAGGGAAGACAATGAATTACCATATGCACACTTAGGATCCTATTTCAGTTCTATGCATTATGCTGCAAACAGGATATACAAAAGCAAGTAAGATGCAATCCCTTCCCTCAAAGAATCACAGTATAGTAGGGAAAACATCATTAATAATATCGTACACTACAGAAGACTTTCAGATATTATTAACTCATTAATCTTAGATGGAGTGATTAGGCGGTCCATTCTAAGGAAGGGACATTTGAACAGAGAGCTGAGTGAAATGAGGAGTGATCCAGGCTAAAATATGGAGAAAGAACACTCTGGGCAGAAGGAAACCCATGTGCATAAGACAGTAATGTCTCATGCAGTGGGGTGCATAAGACAATAATGCCCTTGGAAAACTGAGGAATGGCAAGAAGGGCAATGTTTCCACAGTAAAGAAGAGAGAAAGAGACCAGTAGGAGGGAAGCTGAGAAGGAGGCAGAGATCAGATGAGGGGCCATGGTGAGACGTGTATATTTTATTCTAACTGCAAAGGGAAATCTTTGTAGGGTTTTGAGCAGGTGGAATCTCATGATCCGGTTTAAGAAAATTATCACTCTCATAATGAGGAATGGATGGTCTTTTCAAAAAATTGTGTTGGGTCAACTGGATATTCATAAGGAAAAACAATGAATCTTGACTCCTACACTTTATACAATATACAAAAGTTAATTCCACTACATTTAGAATGTAGATCTAAATGTGATAAGTAAAACAATAAATTTTTAGAAGAGAATACAGACTATCTTCATGACCTTGGAGTAGGCAAAGATTGCTTTAAAAGACAATGAAAATTACTATCCATAAAGAAAAGAATGACAATCTGTACTATAGTAACATTAAGAAATTACGTTCATTGAGAGATACCACTAACCAAGTGAAGAAGCAAGCCACAGAGTGGCAGAGAAGATATTTACAATACATATTTCCAACAGATAACGAAGTGTGCATATACAGAATCTATAAAGAATCCTAAAAATCAATAAGAAAAAGGCACAATACCCAATTGGAAAGTAGGCAAAGGACCTAAATAGATACTCTATGAAAGAGGATATCCAAATGGCCAACAAACATAAGAAAAGGTGCTCAATTCCATGAGTCACCAGGAAAATGCAAATTAAAATCACAATGAGGTATCTCTACACCCTCATCAGAATGATTATGATGAAAAAGACAATTAATACCAAACCTTGGTGAGGATATGGAACAACTGAAACTCTCATATAATACTGGTGGTTATAACCACTTTGAAAATATTTTTTGAAATATCTATTGAAGCCAAATATACACTTATTATTTAACCCAGCAATTCTGCTCCTAGGTACATACCCAACAGAAATTCTTACTATGTTTAGCAAAAGACACGTACAGTAACATTTGTGGCAGCACTATTTAAAATTTACTAAAACTAGAAACCCACCTATCCATCAAAGTAAAGTGGATACATAAATCATGATATATTCATGCTATATATCTCCTCTGTAATTAAATTTCACTTATATGAAGCTTAAGAAGAAGAAAAACTAATCTATGAAGTTAGAAGTAAGCACAGAGATTATCTGGATGGCAGGGAAGGAGGACAAAGGCTGGAAGGGAGCACAAGGGAAACCTCCGGAAATGCTGGTAATGTTCTATTTCTTGCTCTGGGTGTTCGTTACACGGGCATATCACATTGTGAAAATTCACCAAGTTGTACTATTATGATTTGTGCATTTTTTGGGTACACATCTATATTTCAATAAAACATTTAGAAAAAGGTCAAAAAACATTATTAATATTTTAGCTGCTGTGGGGAGAATATGCAAGAGACAGGGGACAGAACTGAAGAAGGAAATCAATTAGGAGGATATTGCAATAATCTAGTCAGGAGAAGGCAATGGTCTGGACGAGGCTGGAGGCCATGGAATGAGAGAAAGGGCTAAAATCAAGACACATCACAATTGCAGAGCCTATGAGGCTTACTAATGATTAGATAGATGTGAGGGAGTGAAAAAGAGAAGAAGCAAAGGTGCCAGGCTTTGACCTGGGTACCTAAATGAATCTTAGTGCCATTTAATGAGATGGGAAAGACCAGATGAGAAGGAGGTTTGGAGTAATGGAGGGTGGAGTAGAAATCAAAAGTTCTTTTTTGGACACAGTAAATTTGAGATGCCAATTAGACACACAAATGGAAATGTCAAGTAGGGAGATGGACATACACACCTGGAGCCCAAGGAGAGGTTTTGACTGTGCAGTGTAGTGGTTAAAAGAACAAACTGTAGAATTAGACTCCCTAGGTTCAAATCCAGGCTGTCACTTACTACTGTGTGCCCCTGGGCAAGTTACTCAACCTCTCTGTGCCTGGGACACTTCATCAGCACAATAAGGTATTAAAAGTATTAAATGAAATAATACTTGTAATTTAAGCCTGCCCCATAATTGTAGCTATTATTGCTAAAGGTTTTTTTTGTTGTTGTTGTTACTCTTAGTAGCCTAGAGAAAGCCTTAAAGATTGTAAACTGTTTGCATCCATTGAAGTACAGAGAATATAAAAAAGAAAAAAGAAAAAAAAAGAAAAGACTGTAAACTGGATTGACTCGCTCAGGAAGTGAGGACATAAAAAAGAAGAGGGTGAAAGTACTTATCCTTCAGACAAGGAAGAGCAAAGGAAGGAGCCATAAAGAAGGAGGGCAAAAGGAAATAGTGGTGTCCAGGGAGACGAGAAGTATTCCAAGAGAGTGACAAACTGTGAAATGCTTTGAAGAAATTGAGTAAGCCCAGGCCTTATCAGGACCTGCTACATAATTTGCCATGCCCAGTAAAACACGTAAATGTGAGGCCCTTGTAGAAAAATGATAAAGAATTTCAAGACAGTGATAGCTCAGTGTTAAAGTAAGCATGGGGCCCTGTGCCACTGCGCAGGTGGTATGTTCACAAAGCTGGCGGAGGACCAAGGACCAAATGTTGGTTTGGCAACAAGAATTGCTTCAGGGAAATGGTGGGATCAAAGCCAGAATGGCGTGAGTTGAGGTGAAAATGAGAGGGAGTTAACATATAAATATAATGTATAAGGTTTATATACATATATACATATTTATATAAAAATATAATGTGTAAGATTTATATATTAACTCCCTCCCATATATATACATACACACACACACACACGCACATATATATTTTATCATTCCCTAACTCATTTAAGGTTTACAGGGTCCCTAACAGTCGATATGATAAGGGCCAGAAAAATGGTATTATAGGATCATGGTACAGCGACAATTAACTGGGGAGAGTTAGGGGGATGAGAATGAGAAGCTTAACTGACAAGGTGACACAGGGCTTGAGTCTTCACAAATTTTGCCCTTGGAAGAGGTAAAAAGCCCCCTAACCAGATTAAACATCACAGTTTATTCTCCATGTTCATCCCCATAATACCTGTATTATACACAGAGGGGGCTAAAAAAAAAAAAAATTTAGAGTTGATGGTTACATACCCACATTAAATCAACACTTGCTATACAGCTGCTCAATTCTTGATGGGGTTACATCCTGATAAACCCATTGTAAAGTTAAAAAATTATAAGTTGAACCATTGTTAAGTTGGGGC